TGAGCCTCAGTTTTCCATCCATAAAATATATAATGAGACTTATGATACAAAGAAAATGGCATAGACTTGTTTCCCTTTGCTCCTCCCTGTAAAGTCTAAAATTCAGAAATAACACAGGAGACAATCAGGAGAACTCTGAAAGGTGGAAAGGGGAAGACGATCTGGTGTGGGACCCAAAACTGACAGAACACAGCAGCAATGTTTCTTACAACCTTCCCACCCAACAGAATAAGGGGACTCAGGCTTGGTGTTTCTTGCCCACCATCTAACCTAGCAACAGAATGTGGCCCACGTAGGCTTGTTCTTTCCCTGAATCCAATGGAAATCCTGCCAACAATAGCAGGTGAACCCAGCAAAACTGTCAGAAAAGATTGGAAGCCCTGATAATAAGTGGTCACCAGGAGAGTGCTTTTTCTGCCTTCCATGAAGGGAAGGTGTGTGCAGGGGAGGAGTCATGTCACAACCAGCCTGGCCTGGGAAGCAGTCTTCATCTGTAAAGGTCAGAGGCTCTCGCCCCCAGAGGCAGCACACCAGGTGGCCTAACCATGGGAAACTCTTTCCACCTCTTCAAGTAACACTGGCTGAGAACCTACTAAATTCCTACTTCAAGAAATTAGAAAAAGAAGAGCAAAATAAACTCAAAGCATAAAAAAATAAGGAAGTATAAAGATGACAGCAGAAATCAATGAAATTGAAAATAAAGAAAAATCAAATCATTGAAACAAAAAGCTGATCCTTTAATAAACCTTTAGCAAGACTAACCAAAAAAAGACAATAGCCAGTATCAGGATTGAAATAGCAGATATTACTAGATCCTCCAGACTTTAAAAGAATAATAAGAGAATGCTATGAACAGCTTACACTCATAAACTTGACAACTTGGAAGAAACAGACTAATTCCTTGGAAAAACCACAAACTACAAAACTCAACCAAGATAAAATAGGTAACATGAATAGCCTATAGCCATTAAAGAAATTGAATTCATAATTTAAAAGCTCGTGAAAAATAAATCTCCAGGTCTAGATGGTTTTAATGGAGAATTCAAAGAAGAATTAACAGTAATTTGCCAGTTTCTTCCAGGAAACAGAAAAGAAGGGAACACTTCTCAACTGATTTTTATAAGGCCAGTATTACCTTGATAACCAAACAAGACAAAAGACAGAAAACAAAAACAACATACCGTTATCTTTCATGAACTTAGATGAAAAAATTCCTCAACCAAATATTAGCAAATCCAACAGTAAATAGAAAAGATATTTTAAAATGCCTAGCTAGGCTTTATTCCAGATATGCAAAGCTGGTTCAATATTGAAAAATCAATCAATGTAATCCATCGTATTAAAGGCTAAAGAAGAGAAGAAGAAATATGTGATCATATTGTTGTTTTTTTAAATAATTCACTTTTTTTTTTTTTTTTATCCTCACCTAAGGATATGTTTTTTTTATTGATTTTAGAGAGAAACATTGATCAGTTGCCTCCCCTATGCATCCAGCAGAATCAAACCCACAACCTTCCACGTACCAGATGACATTCCAACCAACTGAGCTACTCAGTCAGGGCCATATTGTATTTTTTGACACGCAAAAAAATAATTTGACAAAATCCAGTGTTCATTCATGAATAAAACTTTTAAGTTAGGAATAGAAGTGGACTATCCCATCTTAAAGAACATCTACAACAAATGTAGAGCTGGCATTTTTATAGTAAAAGGCTGACAGTTTTTCCTCTAAGATTGAGAACAAAGCAAGGATGTCCACTGTCATCCCTGCTATTGAACATAGCCCTGGAAGTTCTAGCCACTACAGTAAGGCAAGAAGGAAAAATAGAAGGCTTACAGATTGAGGAAGAAGAAATAAAGTGTCCCTATTCACAGATGACATGATTGGCTTTGCACTAAGTTCTGGAACTAATAAGTAAGTTTAGTAAGGTCTGAGGATAGAAGATAACTCACAAGAAATCAGTCACATTTCTACATACTAACAATGAACTTGTGGAAACCCAAATTAAAAACTATATCATTTATAATCTCTGCAAAGAAAATTAAATACTTACATATAAACTTAACAAAACATGTCCAGGATCCGTGTGCTAAAAATAATAAAATACTGATAAAAGAAATCAAAGAAGACCTCAATAAATGGAGAGGTATACCATCTTCATGCATTGAAGGACTCAGCCTAGTAAAGGTATCAACCGATCCCAAATTGGTCTGTAGGTTTAAAGCACTTCCTATCAAAACCTTAGCAAAGATTTTTGTAGGCATAGACAAACTTATTCTAAAATTTGTATAGAAAGGCACAGGCCCTAGAAGCTAAAATAATCTTGAAAAAGAAGCATAAAGTGGAAGGAATTATTCGATCCAATCTGAAGGCCTACTATAATATAACTATGATAATCAAGACAATGGGGTATTGGTGGAGAGATAAACAAATAAATAAATGGCACAGAATAATCCAGAAATAGATCCACACAAATATGCCCAGCTGATATTTGACAAGGGTACAAAAGATTCCTCAATAAAGAGAGGAGAGTATTTTCAACAAATAATATTGGAATAATTAGACCAACACCCCTCCCCAAGCACCTTTACCTAAGCCTTTCTATAAAAAAATTAACAAAATGGATCACCAACTTAAATGTAAAACTATAAACCTTTTAGGAAAAAAACACAGGAGAAGATTTTGGAACTAGGGGTCAGCAAATTTCTTAGTCTTGACACCTAAAGCATGACCCATAAAAGGAAAATTTGATAAATTGGACCATTTCAACATTAAAATTTTTTGCTTTGGGGAAAGACCTTATTAATTAGATGAAAAAGACAAGCTACAGACAGGGAGAAAATACTTTGAAATCACATATCCAACAAAGGACTAGTGTATGTATATAGTTGGGTTTTTTTTAATCCTCACCTGAGGATATGTTTTTATCGATTTAGAGAGAGAAACCTCAATTGATTGCCTCCTGTATGCACCTTGACTGGAAATTGAACCCACAACCTTTCAGTGTATGCCCAGCCAATGTAACTCAGCAGTTGAGCATCTACCTAGGATCCAAGAGATCAAGGTTCGATTCCCGGTCAGGGCACATGCCCAGGTTGCGGGCTCTCCCCCAGTCGGCGGTGTGTAGTAGGCAGCTGATCATTGACGATGCTCTCATCATTGATGTTTCTCTCTCTCTCTCTCCCCCTCTCCCTTCCTCTCTCTGAAATCAATAAAGATAAATTTAATTAATAAATTAATTAATTTAATTAAATAAAAATAGATCCTCAGGTGAGGATTTAAACAAAGGAATGCAGACAAACTAGATTGCTCTTACATTGCCAGTAGGAGTATAAAATAGCACAACCACTCTAGAAAACAGTTTAATAATTTCTTACTAAACTAAACATGCAACTGCTGTCACTCAATATCTGTACTTTTGGGCATTTAACCTAAAGAAATGAATACTTAGGTTCACACAAAAACCTCTTCAGGAACATTCCTAACAGCTTTTTTCATGATAGCCCAAAACTGGAAGCATTCCAGATGTCCTTCAACAGATAAATGGTTAAACAACCTGGTACATCTGTACTATGAAATACTACTCAGCAAAACAAAAAGGGAATGAACTATTGATGTAAGCAACAACTTGGATGAATAGCAAGGGAATTATGTTGAGTCAGAAAAGTCAATATCTAAAAATTGTATACTATATGATTCCTTTTATATAGCTTTCTTGAAATGACAACATTGTAGGAATAGAGAACAGATTAGTGTTTGCCAGTAGTTAGAGATGGGCTAGGGGGACCACGGGAGGTGGGTGAGGCTATAAAAGGGCATGAGGGATACTTGTGTCCACGGAAATGTTCTGTATCTTGACTATATCAATATCAGCCTGACTGTGATATTATATTATAGTTTTACAAAATGTTAAAATTGGAGGAAACAAAGGGCACACAGGATCTCTGTTTATTTTTTACAATGCATGTGAAGCTGCAATTATTTCAAAATTAAAAGTTCAGTTTTTTAAAGAAAGCATAATGATACCTGCCCTTCCTGTGCCAGGGAGTAGTTGGAAGTGTGAAAGGCAGCACAACCTGGGACAAGCTGTGTCATAGTGGGTGCACCTGGTAGCAATACACATGGTAGCCATAAGTTACATCTACCCATATGTTAATTTTGATGTATATATTCAGCACTTCTGTTCTGCCTTGTCCAAAAAAAGTTTATACAATAATTTTTATGTATTGTTATCTTAATAAATTTTATTTATTTATTCACCAAATATTTTTTGTTGGCTTTTTAGTGCTGATCATATTGGGGATAAAAAAGATGGGAAAAGAAGTGTGATGGACAGTTGATCATAGGATGGATCTGGACCTGGTATTTGTTTTTAAAGCTTTGTTTTTGCTCTGACATAATCTATATTTTAAATTTCAAAGACAAAGGTTCTAGTGTTTAATTAGCTGGTAAACTTGGTTTTCAATAATTAAGACCCTTTTCTCAATTTGGAATGCATCTTACAGTCAATGTCGATTCTTAGTTTAATTGATAACATTTTTTTTCTTGATAATACATAAAATAATGGTTCATTTTATACTTAATGGCATTTTAATATTTAAAACCAACTATTTTAATTGGTTTTAGAGAAAGAGGAAGGGGGAAAGAAAGAGAAAGAGAAACATCGATTTGTAGTTCCACTTATTTATGTATTCATTGGTTGAGTCTTATATGTGCTCTGACCAGGGATCAAACTCGAAACCTTGGTGTATCAGAACTATACTGTAACCAATTGAGCTGCCTGGCAAGTTTTGCAGTTTTCATCTGAATATTTTACCTATTCTAATTCTATTAATATTTGTATTAAACATTTTGGGGGAAAGGCATTTTTTCCTTTAGAGGAACCTTTAGCAATTTGAGGGTCTGATGATAAAATCTGTGGCGTGTCATGGTAATACTGTATTACTTACATATATGTTGAAACCTCATTTCCCCTTATCCTTTTTTCTTTGTTTTTCAGTGTCAATATATAGTATTTGGTTTTATGACAAGAATGACTGTCACCGCATAGCCAAACTCATGTCCGAGTAAGTATATAACTCTATATCCTTATTTATTGACATATGAGGTGAAAAGTTACTTTTCTTCCTACATCTCTTTGTTACTGGAGTGTACTAACTCATGTCTTTTCCTCCTGATTTCCTGTTTATTGTCAAAAAATTGGAAAAGGCAGAAAAGCCTAAAGAAATCTATAATCATTTATAATCCTACTATTGCTACTATGCCTAGTATGTATTAGCCTGTTAGTCTGTTTCCTTTAGGTCTTTTTCTTTATGTGAATGAGGTTGATGTAGTTGTTTCTTACAAAAATAGCATCATACCGTGTGTACATCCTACTTTTCATGTCAACAGCATTTTTCCAGAGCATTAAATAGCCCTCTGTGGTGTTCTAATGACTGCATTGTATCCAGTCCTGCAGATAGATTATAATTTAACCAGAGCCTTTCTGTTAAACATGTGATTAATGCTGTCAAACTGCTTGGCTTCAGAAGATATCATGTACATGCAGTGCACAGCCGAATCACCATATCCAATTTAGGCTCTATCCAGGTTTCCACTATAACAAGTGCTCCTGTGTTCAATAGCCAGTAGAGAACTCCTGCACACATCCATATATATATATTTTTTATTTTTTGGTGGCCTTCACCGGGAATTGAACCCGTGACCCGTTGGTCCTCAGCCGACACTAAACACTGAGCCAAACCGGCCAGGGCTATGTTTACCTTTTTAAGTAAACTTATTTTTGACACAGATTCTGAATTTCTAGGTTGCCAATCAATGAATTGTGTTCCAAGAGATGTTTTTGTAAGTCAGAATCTTGGAATTTGGAAAACAGTTTTCATTGAGTTAATCTTCTAAAGGGTGGTTCATTGTTCTTTCTCAAACTAGCCACACTTTCTCTAGAGAATCTTTTCCCTAAAAAAGATAATACAAAGCCACTTATTTGATGACTACTTTTTTGTAGTTTTGAAAGTAACAGCAAAGGCAGCTTACTTAGAAGATGCAGATTTGTTGATTCTTAGTTATCCTGAAATCCAGAATATTTTTTTAATATCTAAACTTTGGAATATAGTAATACAGTTGACCCTTAAACAACACAGAGTTGAACTCCATGAGTCCACTTATACGTGAATTATTTTCAATAAATACAATATTAAAAGTGTATTTTCCTTACAATTTTTTTACAATAACATTTTCTTTTATATGCTAATCAACTTATTTATGTTATCTGTAAGGCTTCCAGTCCACAGTAGGCTATTATTGGTAGTTAAGTTTGGGGGAAGTCAAAGCTAATAGATTTCAGCCGTGCAGGGAATCCGTGCCCCCTTACCCTCACGTTGGTGAAGGGTTAACTGTATGTACATTTTCTCCTGTACATTGAGAGCTTTTGGGACCTGAATGAGAGAATCTGCCTTTTTTAGCTCTAACAGCTATTCACAGAAAACCATTTTGAGCTTTTTTCCCTCTATCAGGGCAAGTAGTACCCCTAAAGTAAAACTTCAGAAGGTAAATGAAGCTGAAGACTAAAGGCCTATCTGAAAATAATTGTATTGAACCTAATAATAAAACAAGGAAGTAGAAACAGGAAGCAGAGAGGGAAAAGAGCAGTCAGGGCTCTTTCACAGAATGCCCCCAAAAAGAGATTTGCTTAAGCTTTCAGCTTGTTTTACTTGAAGCGGAGAGGTATTGGAACTGTTGATAGTGAGTTTTCAAGTGCCTGGCCTGCTTATGGCTGAAGATAAATGGCATTCTGGACACCAAAGATAAAAAAGACTATTTTATCTTTCTTTCTTCTAACTTTGCCTGTATACAGCCTCTATTTGCTACATAATTCAAAATGTCACGTCTGCTAACCAGAAATACAAGTAAAATTCTTTTTGGCATATTATGTGTCTAAATAAATATGCCTTTCAGTGCCTATTCTATTAAATTTAGATCTTCCCATCACTGTTTTGACAGCTGGAATATAATAAAAATTCTCCAAGTAAAAAGTTGATTTATTCCAAAAGATATTTATAAAAATTGAGAAGCTGTTTAGGGAGAGCAAGCAAATTCCTAGACCTGTACTGTATCTAAATTTGGAAATTCTCTTTGGTCAGTGGCAAAGTTGAAAATCCACTAAACTTGAAAAATGTTGACCCTTCTAAAGAGGAAATCCAATCTGCCAGAAACTTTAACAGTGAAACTTGTTTCAGTGTTTGCCTACATTGACTATAAAATTTGGAAAACTCATGGAAGTCAGCTTTATTCCTGATCTTACAGATAGTCTTAGGGGCATAGTTGAGGATTTGAGAGGAAGGGAAAGAAACAAGGTCCCTTTTCATTTTCCACAGTGAGTTGTTCAGCCCTACAGATTTCCTTCATCTTGGTGGCATTGTCCATTTTCAGATTACTTTACCATTTAGTTTGACTGATTTTGAGATTCTTCAAAAAAGAGAGATAATTTTCTTCCATAGAGCAGGGTAAACTTCTAATTACTAAACACTTGCTCTTATAGTCCTGCAATGACCCTTTGAAGCCCCAAGGTACCTTACCTCATCCTTAGCTCTGAATGCTACGTATACCGAATTTTTACTTTTTATCCTTGACCCTCTCATGTACGTAGGGCCTCTGACTTTCTCATGTGTGCAGAGTTCCCACATATATGTATGTAATTAAATTTGATGATTTTCTGTTGTTACTCTGTCTCATGTCTATTTGATTATTAGAGCCAAAGAACCTTGAGGGTAGAAAGTTTCAGTATAATATGAACTGGCTGTGGCAGACAAGGAGGAAACCTACCAAGTCCCCTTTGTTTAAAGTTTTTGTGACCCATTGTCTCTAGAGAGCCCAACAATTACTCGTTTACTAAACATTAATTCTGTCATCTCCTGATGAATTGCCTCACTTCCCCTTGGAGTCTCAGACCCTTACCTTGTTCTTAGCCCAGAATAACATATATGCCCATTTTGCCTACTACCTTTAGAATTTTTCATGCTTATGTGAATTCTTTATGCATATGCATTAAATCTCATTTCCCCTGTTAATCTGAGTTGATGTAAGAAACGTCCAAACCTGTGAAGAATTTCTATAAGAGTTTATTTGAACCAGACTGACAATATATGCCAGGGAGCAAGATCTCAAGTGCTCCCCATAGAGTTTTAATGAACCTATTTCTAACAACTCTAGAATGGAATTCTGTATTTTTTCCCTCACAGTGAAATACATTAGTTGGCAATGCTGTGATAAAATGGTGAATTGGTCATCAGGTATTCTGGGGTGAGGTAACCAAGCCTCTGTGTTTTGTATTGTGAGGACATTGCTATCGTGATGTTTTTACTGTATGCTTGGAAGATGAACACCAGAAGAGTTCTTGGCTCAGATTGTGTCTAAGCAGGTGTTTCTAAAACCTGGTTCTCGTCTTCTAGGGTGGTAGAAGAGGAGACACGGCGCTCCCAGCTAGCTGCTCGGGATAAGCAGAGTCCCAGCCAGGCCAACGGTTGCAGTGACCACAGGCCCATCGACATCCTAGAGATGCTGAGCCGAGCCAAGGATGAGTATGAGCGGGTGAGACTCTGCATGCCTATGGGGAGGACCGACGGGGAGGCGGCCTGCAGGGGCTCCTGGACTTGGGACGTCACCTCCAAGGCCAGCAGAAATAATTAATTCAAAAAGAAACCGTGTCTTTTAAGTTTCAAGCCTAAAAGATATGAAATTTGTTTACCTTAGAGTCTTTGACTTGGCATGAAAATTGAGAATTTGTTTTTCTATTCCTGTAAAATTACTCTGTGAGAAAGTGGATTTGGAATACAGAAGTTAGCCTGCGACTGGTAGTTCTGGAAAGGAAAGCTCCATGCCTCGTCCTCCCCCGCAGCCTCTGCTAGGTCTTAGGAACTTGCTTATATTTACAGTCTGTTATTGGTAGTAAGTGTACAACCTTCATTAAGCATCATTTGGAATCTTACCCAAATGCTTTTCTGGAATTCATTTTCTTTCTGTTTTGTATTTTAGTTTAAAAGTTAACTGATAACATTTTCTCCCCAAAGTTGAATGAAGTAGAGGCCGTGGGCACTCAATGATTATTCAGCACATATCTATGAGCTGTCTGTGGTATGCCAAGCAGTGGACGTAAGTGTCACCGTACTCTGTACTAGCATTGAGTTAAGCACTTTCTCTCATTTCTTGTTCAGTCCTCACCAAAAGATCAGGGAACAAGGTGTCAGAAGCACACTAAAAACCATATTTCCCAAACAGTTCTATCTCACACTGCCTCTGGGTGTTAACAGGCGCTCCTTGAGAAAAGGTTCCAGTTTGTCCAGGGAGTTAAAAAACATTGTTAGCATGGCTCCTCTTCCCCCATCCTCTTAGGGCTCTAAGTGCTCAATACCCTGAGAGGTCCCTGCAGTAAACAAAACAGTGACACCAGTTCCCAGATTGATGTGACTGTAGGACCATTTTTCACATACTCCCCTTTAAGAATCTAGAGTTCGTGGAACAAACTTTTGAACAGTGCTCTAGAAGGTAGTTTCCACCCTAAACTACAAAAACCTCCTACATTCAAGCACCAAAGGAAGTCCCACTTCCTGGGTAGAGAAATATACGTTAGCCCGTGAGAAGTTTCAAGTTGTACCACATTCCTCAGTGTCTCATAGGGAATTAGGAGGAGCCTATGGATCTGTGAAAATTAATATAGGAGAAGCAGACTTCTCTGTAATGAATTTGTTGATTCTTAGGAAACCGGACGAGAATAAATTTCAAGAGCCATTTTCTGAACTTTTAAGTTACCTTATATTCCCCACATTTCCTTTCATATCCTCAGTAAGGTCTGGGTTATCTACATAGATGCCTAGATGCCTTGTTCTGTTTTTATAAAGGGCTTTTTGTGTTCTGATACAGGTAATTAATAAGTCCAGGCTTTGTCACCGGTCCCTGGTGGTGACTAGATCAGGGTGCCACGTGGACAGAGAGCGAAGGTGCTGCACACGAGAGCAGGCACTCCAGGAGGTGGCCAGGCTACTCCTCAAGCTGAGGAGTGAAGAGCCACAAAATGAAAGAAAGAACCAAACCTTGTTTTTGTGCACAAAGCTGTAAAGGAACTCCAGGTCAAGTGGAGAAAACAAAAATCACATGATTTCTAGTTAATGCACATTGCAAAAATGAGAATGTGGGAGAACAGTAATTACTATTGTAAGAAAATTCTTCCACTGTATGGAGGAAATAAAATGTTGCCTATAGTTAGATTAAAACTAAATCTTTGGGAATTTTGTTAAACCTTTGATATTTACTTTATAATATGTTCTATTTTTGAAAACTCTCCGCAAATAGAGCTTCCATAAATGACAGTTTTGTTTCTTGTCTGCACTTGGCCTGTCATCTAATCAAATGGAGTTAATGTTAGCAGTGACCCATGAATTCATGTCTTTTAGGGCTAGGATAGGTTTTCCCCAGCTGCCGTATGATTCCAGATGGCCCCTTTCTTTATCTTTAGGGAGAGATTTGGGAGTTTGACAGAGTCAAGGGCAGGGGAGCAAGCCAGGCCTCAGTGATGGGATTTAATCCCAGTTCTAAATCGCCTCTGTCCAGTGTATATAACACAGTGAATGAAATTCCAGACTTTTAGTGAGGTATTTATAATAGAGAATGTTTGAACATAAGAACTCTTTATAATAAACATTTTCTTCCCAAGTTTTCTATTTTTAATGTAAAGAAAGATAGCTGAAACCATGGTCCTTTACAGTGGTCCATTCTGAGTTGCTCCTAGCCTGGATTTGTAATCCTGGTTTTTGGCAGAGGTTGTTTATTTGTTTATTTTGTTTTAATTTAACTGCAAATTTTCTTTTAAACCCAGACTTTTTTGTTCTTAAAAAAATAGGAGCACCATTATTTTTCTTTTTATGTAAACCGTACATATGGATTATAGAAACTGTGATATTTAAAAATTGTAATAAAAGAAAAAATTATAATTCCACCACCTAGAAATAATCAGGGCCAATGCCGATATGTATCCTTCCAGAAATATATATAAATATGTCCCAATGTGTGTGGTTTATTTGTGTACACTAGCTTATTAACTTTTGTAACCTGTTTTTCCCCCCCCTAAAGAACAATATATTTTTATGACAGTAACTACATAGGGAGTCCCTGTGAGATTTCACTTGGTAGAATGAAAACTTTTTTTAAAAAAAGAGTTGTGGCCCAGCCAGCATGGCTCAGTGATTGAGCATTGACCTATGTTCAAGAGATCTCTGTTGGATTTCCAGTCAGGACACATGCCCTGATTGTGGACTCGATCCAGAGTAGAGGGCATGGAGGAGGGAACCAATCAATGACTCTCATCATTGATGTTTCTATCTCCTCTCTCTGAAATCACTAAAGACATGTTTTTAAAAAAACATTGTGGCCATGACTGGTGTGGCTCAGTAGTTAGAGCTTCGGCCAGCACAGTGAAGGGTCTCAGTTCCATTCTGGTGAAGGGCATGTACCTGGCTTGCATGTTCACTCCCAGTGCCGCCACCCCCCCCCATTGGGGCACGTTTGGGAGGCAGCCAGTAGCAACCAGTAGACCTCTCTCTCTCTCTCTCTCTCTGCCTTATGAGCAACACCCTAGATTTTTCTGATTATTAAGAATTCAGAATATATCCTTGTANAGACATGTTTTTAAAAAAACATTGTGGCCATGACTGGTGTGGCTCAGTAGTTAGAGCTTCGGCCAGCACAGTGAAGGGTCTCAGTTCCATTCTGGTGAAGGGCATGTACCTGGCTTGCATGTTCACTCCCAGTGCCGCCACCCCCCCCCATTGGGGCACGTTTGGGAGGCAGCCAGTAGCAACCAGTAGACCTCTCTCTCTCTCTCTCTCTCTGCCTTATGAGCAACACCCTAGATTTTTCTGATTATTAAGAATTCAGAATATATCCTTGTAAGCTAAGTATTCATGTACAGCATTTTATTTCAAGATAAGTTACTTGAGATGGAATTGGTAGATCAAAGGATTTTGACATTTTAAAGATTTTTATCAAATTTTGTGAAATTTCCCTCCAGAAAGTTTGTGATTATCCATTTCCCCCAGTCCTTACAAACACTGGAAACTGTTATTAACAAAAGACTCAGAATAAACCTTCTAAGAATGGCCATGCACACCTACAAGAAAATATTTGAAGTTCTGGAGACCTTTTTAAATTCAGCCCATCTCCTAGCTCATGTTGAGTTTCTAGTAATGCAGACTCAAATGTCCTCAAAACCAAGTAGGCCACCAATAGTGCCTGCATGGACTGGGGTGGATCTGACATCAGGAGCCTGTCATTATGTCACAGAGTCAGTTGGAGCTCACCTCCAGGCAGTTGCTGCCAAATTATCCAGCTTCTCTCTGAAAATGACAGGCTAGGATTTTTATGTAAAAACTTCCAGTTCCAAAAATGTTCCAGAATATTTTATACCACTGTTTTAAGAACTTGTTATGAACAGTGTTTTGAGTTTATGTTTTCTCCAATGTAGTTCAATTCCACACATTTTGCATAGTGTATTGATACAGGTTGAAGGTGATGTTGCACAAAGAAATGTGTTAGAAGATATTTCATAGGCTTTCAGACTACTTCACCTCTGTTTAAATGGGTAACACTGAATTAATATAATATTTATGTTAACTATAAAATTAAAATATAAAAATTTAAAAATAAATAAATGGGTAACACTGCATAAATGGTGTTCTGAAATAATGTAAGGGTAAAGGCATTTGAATAGAAAAATGCATATCATTCATTCATTTAACATTCGAGTATCTACGCCTGTGCTAAGTACATATAGTATGGTATCAGGAAAAATTAATCTGTCTCTGGACTGTGAAGTTTAAGGCTTTTTTCTATTGTGAGTGTTCTGAACTGTGTTTTTGGTGTTCGTTTTGACCTAGATAATGCTCACCAGATGCAGGATCAGATAACCCAAATAGAACTTAAGTTTCTAAAGATTTGTAATTTCATCTCCATCTTTAATTGTGATGTGTGGAAACCTAAAAAAAAAAAAAAAAAAAAACCTCTAACCTAAATGTAACACCTCTAACAAAAATCAACTCAAAATGGATTGTAGATCTAAATATATAACATAAAAGTATAAAAATTTAGAGGAAAGATATATTTACTGTGTGATCCAGGTACCACTCCTATGTATTTACTCTAGAGAAATGAAGTTTTTGTCTACACAAAAAACCTGTGAATGTTCATAGAAACTGCATTCATAATCACCCAAAACTGGGTAAGCAGACTGCAGTGCTGTCACACAGTGGAATACAGCTCAGCAGCAGAAAGGAGTGAGCATTACCACCGCACAGCAGCCTGCATGAATCTTCAGGGGCGTTCTACTAAGAGAAAAGCCAGCATTCCGTTTTTCACAACATTCTCAGAAAGACAAAACTAGAGTGACAGAGAACATCACTGGTTTCTAAGAGTGCAGGAAGGGCATGACTACAGTGGGACAGCACAAGGGAGTTTTTGGGGTGATAGAGCTATTTTGTATCCTGATTATGGTGATAGATACACAGATAGAACTGTATACCCCAAGAAGCTTAATTTTACCATATATTAAAAATAAAACAAAAAAAGACCTTTTTCTTCTTTTCTTTTTATTGTACCTATATGAGAAGATGGATGTTAGCTGAGCCTGTTGTGGTAGTCATTTCACAGTACATGTAAATCAGGCCATCATGCTGTACACCTTAAACTTACACAGTGATGTATGTCAGTTCTCAATAAAATTGGCGGGAAATTTTTTAATGGAAAAGAATATGTAATAAAGCAGTACCATTGGTTTTTCTTAAAAGGGTTATAAAAATAACAATCATTACTAACATTATGGTCTAAAATGAAGTGCTCAACTTGCTAGAAATTTTATTGTATAAGTTATATGAGGATCCAAAGCAAAACATTTAGATTTTTTTTTTGCTTGTTTTTTAAAATAGCAATTCTGATCATCTCAATTGCTATTGTATGAGCCAAATAATAGCAAACTTTTTCACTTGATATACTTTTCCTTTTAATTTAAGAATCAAATGGGTGACTCAAATATCTCTAGCCCTGGGCTACAGCCAAGTACTCAGCTCTCCAATCTGGGAAGCACCGAGACTCTAGAAGAGACGCCATCCGGGCCACAAGATAAGGTTTGTATAGCTAAAGCCCTAGCTTTGTCCAAGATAACAAAACACAGAGTAACATTTTGTCAGGGTTTTAATGCAGTACAAGTTATCTGTCAAGGTACGTATGGGGGTAACGTAGTGGTATCCACTCATGTCATTTCCCCTGGTTCATGTAACTGTCTTTCATCTGGATTTTGTAGTAGCCTCTGTCTGGTTTCCAGCTTTTGCCCTTGTCACTCCCTTACCTATTCTTAACCCAGCTGCCAGAGCAATCCTGACAAAACAAGTTAGATCATGTCATTCCTCTGCTTAAAACTCTCCAGCGGTATCCCATCTCACTCAAAAGCCAAGGTTGTGGCGGTGGCCCACAGGGCCCTACTTGATCTGGCCCGGTACCCTGGTCTCATCTCTCTGCCTTGCTCACTTGGCCCCAGCCTCGCTGGCTCTCCTGCCTTTCCACAAATGTGCCAGACTTGCTCCTGTCTCGGGACAGGCCTTTGTCCTTGTTCCCTTGGCCTGGGATACTTTCCTCCTGTGTATGGCTTGCCCCCTTTCTTCCTTCAGGTCTCAAGTGTCCTCTGTATAGGTGAGGCCTTCTCTGACCTATTTTAAATAACATTTCTTCCCTACCCTTGTCCTGCTGTGCTATTTATTTTCCCCCTAAGAATACGGCACTAACATGGTTGTGGTTTTCGTATTTATTCATTGTGTCTCCTCCCCACCAAAACCTAAGCTCCATGGGGCAGGCGGTTTATTCTGCCTTGTTCAGCATCTGTTCTTATTTAGCATCTAGCATTGTAAATATTTGCTGACTGAGCCTTCTTTTTAACTGATGGCTTGATAAATCAGCAGATACCAAATAAAACCCATAGTTTTTTAATTAAACTTTTTATTTTGAGGTAATTTTAGATTCACATGCAGTCATAAGAATACAGAAAGATTCCATGTAGCCTTTACCCATGTCCCCATTGATAACAGCTTGCAGAGTATAGCACAATGTCATAACTAAGTCATTGACACAATCTACCGTCTAGTTCATATTTCCTCAGTTTGAATTGCATTCATTTATGTGTGTAGCGTGTATGTATTTAGTTCTAATTTTATCTCTGGTATAGCTTTGTGTATCCATCACCAGAAGCATCCTTTGTGTTGCCCTTTTATTATCACACTAACTTCCCTGTCATACCCTTTCTGCCTTCCCCCCTCCTCTTATCCCTAACAGCCACTAATCTGTCTCCAGTCCTATAATGTTGTCATTTTAGGAATGTTATATAAATGGTATCATACAGTTTACCCATTAAAGGACGTTTGGGGCTGTTATGAATAAAGTTTCTATGAGTATTTATGTGTAGGTTTTTGTACATAAATTTTTTAAAATTTATTGGGGCTAAATTGGTTAATGAGGTCATATAGGTTTCAAATGTGCATTTTTATGATACATGATCTGTATCTTACATTGTGTGCCCACCACCTAAAGTTAGATGCTCTTCCATCAACATGTATTTGGCCCCCCTTTACCCTTTACCTCTTCCCTCTGGTAGCTGCCATACTGTTGTCTGTATCGGTGAGTTTCAGTTTTATATCCCACATATGAGTGAAATCATACGATTCTTAGCTTTTTCTGACTGACTTATTTCACTTAGCATAATATTCTCAAGGCCCATCCATGTTGTCAAAAATGGCAGGATTTCGTCTTTCTGTTTCTTTGAGGAAAATGCCCAGGAGTGCAGATATTGGGTCACTTGGTAATGGCATGCTTTAGTTTAATTAACTGCCATGTGGTTTGCCAGAGAGTCTATACCATATTACATTCCCATCAGCAATGTCTCCATATTGTTTTTAGGTATTTAAATGATCATTTAAACTAGATTTTGTATATTACATTTCTATGCTCCCTTTTTACTGTATTTGTATTTAGGATCCTGAAGGTCAAAAATATATATTAAAAGTGGTGCTATGTAAAATTTAATTTTTTGAAAACATATGTTGAGAGAGGGAGGGAAAGAAGGAGCAGGGTCCATTATTCCTTTTGGTCTGGTTTATCAGCCATGAGTGTTCATTGGGCCAGTTGCTTCCCTTTCCTTTCTGAATCTTGGGTTAAGGATTCTTGCATTGTCTACCAGTTACTGTGAGACCCAAATGAAGAACTGGAACCCCAAAAATTCCTAAAGGTCCATAAAGCACTGTTCATCGAAAGATGAGTGTGACAAGCCATAGGTGCTCAGCCCTATAACAGAGGCACCAGTGACGGATCTGTGGACATGCGGAATTCAGGGGTGGGCTCTCAAGAATTGTACCCCCTAATGCGAACAGTGCTGATGCTGCTATTCCATCTTTTCTCACATTCATTTAAAATTCCATTTTATAGGCCAAAGTGACAACATTTTGTAAAATACTGAGTTCTGAATATTGTCAGAAACCATGTGATTCACTAAAATTAGCTAACGTCTATAATCAGCCCCTGCAGAGATAATACATTTCTTTAGTAACACTGCCATCTAGTGCTTAGGAGCAGATAACGCTCTCAAGCCTTTATAGTATTAAATTCCATTTGCTCATAATTCATTTATTATGAATTCCCTTGGGACTGTTTCCCTAGTTGATTTTGTTTTATTTTTATAATTAAGAATAATGCATCATTCTTGTGTCCTCAGTTTACTCACCAGGTAAGAATCCAACATGGATACAACAGAGCCAGACAAATAGGGAATTCTCTAAACCGTCAGAGCTGTGGAGTGAGGAAGGAACAGTGTAAAGCGTCATACAGTATGTTAGAATTTTGTTACGCACCATATACACTGTTGTTCACTGAATTCCATCTCCCCAGGGGAATGGTCAGACTAACTAACACTCGATTTTAGTGAGGCATTATAAAACTCAGAATCCAGACCTGAGGCGTAGTCAGACATGAGGGAAGAGTAGAATTTCACCTTTCTATGGATGATGGAAGATGACTCCATGAATGAATAAGCTCAGCTGCTAGAGGGATGTAGCTGAGTTTTTTGTCACACAGTCCTCTCTGGCGCAGGCACTGGAGAGCTGGTGGGAGCTCGTGTGGAGACGTGCGCTCTGCTCACTCAGTTCAGCCTCTGTGACTGCCTCGCCAGTTACAGATTTCCAAAAGTTGGTGCATTATGACCTCTATCCACCTCTTAGTTATTCAAGCTTTAGCTGCACCTCTGTTTTCCAGAGGTTAATGCCACATTCAGTTGATTGGGTATCCTATAGTCTGCTTAATTATGTGGTAGTGTAATGTTAAGAATGTGGACTATGTTAGAACTAGACTGGTCTGGTTGTGTTGTTGTCCTTGGGCATCATCTATAAAATGGCAATAATATTAGTGTTGCCCTCACTGTAACAGAGTGATGCACCTGCAGTGTGCAGCCCAGGGCCTCCCATAGAGTGAGTTTCCTGCCTATGATAACTCTTTTGCCATCACAACTTAATTTAGTGCTTCTTATGGGAGGTACCTCTGAAACCCTAATGCTTTACCACACACCCTGCTCCAGAGAAAGTGTTAGAATCTGTGTTTGGCCTGGCAGAAGTTGTAGTGAGGCAGCACTGAGAAATCTGGAAAGTTTATTTTGCAGTCCAGGTTCAAGGTTCTACCATATAATTTCATTTTTTAATACAAAGTAGATTTTAAACCATTAGAAATACCTATTTTTAAATGTAAGTGTAGAAATATTCCAAATGTAAGTGCAGGTTATTTTAGTTGTTCAAAAGTTGATTGGTATTCTACTAGGCAGGTAAAAATTGCTTCCTGGATCGTGACATTCTTGAAGCCTAAGGTATATTTCATGGTGAGGCTTCTCCATGTCCTATTTGTTCCTTTTATAACATAAAAATAGTATTCTTCACTGGGAAAGACTTAAGTTTCTGCAAAATAGCCCCAATATAGTCTGTGTTTTTCAAAGTAGTTATATCTAAATGTTGGTTTCTCTCCATTATATATATAAATTTGTATACACATATAACAGAATGTAGTGGTGAAGACCTACATAATTTTCATTAATGAATAAAAATCAGTGTAGTTTACCAGCACTTTTTTTGCCAAGCATCTTGATCATTTTGTTTTAAACATAGTGTGTATAAAAAGGAATTAACCCAACTCAAAAATGAGCAAAGGACTTGAATAAACATTTCTCCTAATAAGATATACAATGGCCAACAAGTATTGGCAAGAATATGGAGAAATTCAAACCCTCTTGCATTGTAGTAATGTAAAATAGTACAGCAGCTATGGAAAACCATTTGGCATTTATTCAAAAAGTTATGTGTAGAATGATCCAGCAATTCTGTTGCTGGGCATATACTCAAAAGAATTGAAAACAAGGTGAAACTGGTACTTTTACACTAATGTTCATAGCAGCATTTTTCACTGTAGCCAAAGGTAGAAATAACTCAAGTGTCAGTCAACGAGATATGGTGTATGCAGACAGAGGAATATTATTCAACCTTAAAAAGGAATGAAATCCTGACCCGTACTACAACATGGATGAACCTTGAAACCATGCTAAGTGAAATAAGCTAGTCATAAAAGGACATACTGTATGAGGTACCTAGAGTGCGCAAATTCATAGAAACAGTAGAGTTGAGGTTATTAAGGGCTGTAGGCGGGGTGGTGGGGGGAGGAGAAAAATTGGGAGTTGTTATTTAATGGGTACAGAGTTTCTGTTTGGGTAGATGAAAAGGTTCTAGAAATAGATGGTAGTAGTCATACAACATTGTGAATGTACTGAACGCCACTGAATCTTCACTTAAATGTGGTTAAAATTGTAACTTTTGTTATGTATATTTTATCATAATTCTTAGAAACTGGAGTGGGAGAGATTATCTCTGCTCATCAATAGACATTTATGATGCCAGGGATCCCAAAGGGAATCAATCACAGTGGTCAACTTGGGAGATGGAACCTCTGCCCCATGTGAGAGTTATTTATTGTGAGTTAAATTAAATGAATTTGAAACGTTACCAGTGAGTTTTAGACAAACAGCTGTGTCTTTACTCCTTGCATCGGGAATGACAGGGTGTCTCATAATAATAGCACAGTCTTGATATCCTTCAGGTGGTATTGTTGTTATTTTGCATTATGGGGGTATGATATTCCAGAGGATTTGATGAATTTTTAATATCCCAACATATTATTTGATGTTCCTTAAAACATATCCCAACACAGACTAATGATTGATATTAAGACTGCATGATATTCACATGATGATGATAGCCAACTCCATTTACTGGATGCTTGTTGGGCCCCAGACATTATACTGAGAACTTAATTTTTACAATGGCTCTATGAGGTGTTTATTACAATCGCCCCTATTTTTCAGGTGAGGGAACTAAATAGAAAGATGATATAATTTTCCTACTTAAAAGCTGGGAATTAAACCTAGATATCTTTGATTCCAGACCATAAGTTCTACAGTTTTTTCAGAAGTAAAAATGTGAGGAAATTAAACCATATAAAATCTTGTGCATGTTTTCACATCCAGGTTACAAGTAGATGTCAGTGCTGCCTCACATTTGAAGTGGAATCTGAATCGGGAGGATTCCTTAAGGTACTAGGAAGCGCGGCGATAAGCTAGTCTTACTGGCCTCACTGCACGTTAGTAGGGGGGCCTAAACTTGCCATTGGAGGATTCCTTCACTTAAACCTCTCGTCACATTAATATGTTGCAATGACTGATATGTTAGCTTTTAAATATTAATAGAATACTCTTTATTGAACATTTGCTAAGGTGAGATTGTTTGGTATGAAATGATGGTCTTACCACTGGGGGAGGCTTCAGCCCTTCCTCAACAACAGTTGCTTCACTGCCGTCATCCCCAGACCCGCTCTGCCCCTCACTCAGCAGCCGATGCTGTCCTCGCCACCACTCCCTTCACTTGCTGTCCCTCGTGTAAACTGCCCTCAGCACTGGCCTCCTCCTCCTCCTCTTGTCTCTCCGTGACAGAGGGGACCCCAACCCTCTCCCCTTAGAGCCTGCAGCCAGTAAGCTCCCTCCCCCCTCTCTTCCCGCACCCACCCATCACTGCAGTGCCCCTGGCACCTGGCCAACTCAGTCATTATTTGTCAAATGGATGAAACAAACATTTGCCTGGGAGAAACTGAGTTCATTTTTTTTTGTAGAAATATGATCATATCATAGACCTATCATGATTATATTTCACATGCAATGTACCTAAGGGCCTTTATAGACTTACTGAGGCCCTGAAAATCGTGTTTCAGCTAATTATTTTTGCATATAAACATGGCTAAACAACTAAGTAGTCCACACACTTCAGAAATAAAACCATAGGTTGAGGCTGCTTTGTGTTTTCAAAGTACTTAGGTTTGTCTCCCGCTAGAACATAAGCTCTGTCAGAGCAGGACTTTTTGTTACTCCTTGCTGTGTCCCTTGGGCCCAGGTCAGAGCAGGACCTGGTACCCTGTGAGTACTCAGAAAATAAAGGTTAAAAGAATAGGCAACACTGTGTGGAGGTGCAAGATGCTCAGTAGTGGAAAGCATGAATAATTCTCCTTTAAATCCATGCGGTGGTGTCAGTAAGCCAGGTCAGTCATACATATGTAAATTTAACATTTTTCAGGCTTGAAGGCTTTGGCTTTTCTTAAAGATTCTGTGATTTGGGAGTAGGATGAGAAATGGCCTGCTATTTTGTTTAAATGGTTACATTTATTTTCTGGTATTTGAGACCCAGTCCTCGAGGTGCAATGCCTAGCTTTGTATCAAGAACAGTGAAAATAAAGGTAGGATTACATGATCAGCATTTGGTCCCTCTGTCCTCCTGAGTGTTATTTCCCTACATGTGTTACTGACATGGGGCAATAGGCATGATTAACTTTGTGATAAGGTAATTGTCCATTCCCCTGATATCAGTCATTTGCCCAGAAAAAGTGAATTCTGACACTGTTATCTGGAGTCTCTAAAATTTGAATTTGAATTTTTTTTTTTTTTTGAGAGACATCGATTTGTTGCCCTGACCCAGGATCAAACCTGCAACCTTGGCATATCGGGACGACACTCTAACCAGCTGAGCTACCCAGCCAGAGCCACTAATGTAGATTTCTGCCCAAGACGCATTTTGGCCTCAATCGCTAGTACATCTTCAGCTTGGTCCATTTTCTTATTTTCAGAGCCCGCCCACCCTTGCCTCTGCAAACTGGTTTTGGTTGATGAAGTTTAGTTGCACCGGTTTGTAGGAGGTGTCTTTCATTGGGTGGTTTGATTTGTTTTTCAGCCTGCGCCATCTGGACACAAACACCTGACGGTAGAAGAATTATTTGGAACCTCTCTGCCAAAGGAACAGCCAACAGTTGTGGGCCTGGATTCAGAAGAAGTGGAGAAGCTGCCAGGAGATGCTGCTCAGAGAGAACTCAGCTCATTCCTACCATTTTCCTTTGAGCAGCCGGGAGGGGCCTCTCAGTCAGAAAACCCGGGTGTCCATCCTGCTGCCCACCACTCAGTCCAACCTGAAGTCACCACCCCGGTGCTAATCACTCCTGCCTCCATCTCACAGTCCAATGAAAAGCAGGTCCCAAACTACACGATCCCATTGTGCCCTGGGCTCAGTCCCACTCTACCAGCAGAAGCTCCTACTGCACAGATTCCCCCTGCCTTACCCCGAAACACCACCATAATGCAGGCGGTGAAGACCACGCCTAGACAGAGGTCTCCACTCCTGAGTCAGCCAGTCCCTGAGCTGAGCCATGCCAGTCTAACTGCCAGCCAGAGCCCCTTCAGGGCCCCACTGAGCGTGACAAATACCGCCTGTACAACCCTCCCAAGCGTTGATCTTCTCCAGAAACTCAGGTTGACCCCACAGCATGACCAAATACAGACACAGTCACTTGGGAAGGGTGCAGTGGCACCGAGCTTTTCTCCAGCAGCTGGCCAGCTGGCCACACCTGAGAGCTTCATAGAGCCTCCCCCTAAGACAGCAGCAGTGAGAGCCTCCACCTCCCTGAGCAACATGGTGCTTGCTCCCCTTCAGGTACTGGCAGAAGAGTGGGTGCCATGACTGAGTGAAATGAAACTGAAAAGACCGTGATTTTGACTGACATGAGACAGTCATTTAAAGAGACAACTGTTGAGGATGTCAGGGGCTAGAAGAAAGGAAGGGGGGAGGGGGGAGGGGGTCAGAAGCCCTGTGATGAACGACCAAGTAATTGGTGAATGGTGTTTTAACTTGTTCTGCTTCTCAAAATTATTTCAACTGATAAAAGCTAAGAAACAGTATTTGCATTTTCATACCGGTATGCATTTTAGGGGTTTTTGTTTTGCATGATAGTTCCAGACTTGGGGACCACTCAGATCCAACTTATCCCAAGCACTGTTCAATTCCCAGTTCCCTCAGTCTCAGTGTCTACCTTGTACCGTGCACACTAGGGTGCATAAGAGCATCCCGGGTTTGGAAGTATGAGGTCAAAGCTTCCTATTGAAACATGTTCAGCTGAGATCTGAAGGCTCAGTAAAAATTAGCCAAACTTTTCTGAGAGGTGTGAAAAGTGTTTGAGGCAAGGAGACTAGCCTGTGCACAGGCCTGGAGATGTGAAGGTATTTGCTGACCTCAGTTGTAGTGTGACTGGATCTACTGTAGAAAAAAACTTGGGGGAGTGGGTATTGGTTAGTGAGCAAGGCTGTCGGTTGTGTTACGGAGTTAGAGGCTTGTCCTCAGAGCCCTGCAGAATGTTTCAAGGGCTTTGAGGAAGAAGGCATGCTGGGAAAGGAGAAGACAGGTAGGGTGACTCATCAGGGAGGAGGCTGTGACGGTCACCCAGGTTTGAGCCGGTGGGGGCCTGAATGTAGGAATGTGGACAAGTGGATTTGTTTAAAAGTATGATTAGTGGGACTTCATGGTGGTGGGGGAGGGGTGTTCAGATCTCAGCTGAAGATCAGTTTCACTAGGAAGCTTTATATCACCTCACACCTCCAAATCTGGGATGCTCTTATGGCACCCTAGTGTGCCTGGCACAAGACAGGCACCCAGTGAGTACTGGGGGAGTTGGAAACTAAATAACTTTTATGAGGTTGGTAAGCTGTAAGATTACAGAAATGAAAAAGGGTAGAACCTTCTACTGTAATGTGTATTGGTTACTTTTCAAGATTTTAGTCTCATGCCCTTTAATAATAACTCCCAATCTTATTTTACTAAATAATATTGTGTAGAAGAGCCCATCATAATAATTGTGTATTATTTCTTAGTTAATGGGAAATTTTGTTTCATTCTTTTGAAAGGAAATTTAGTATCTTGGTTACATTATTAAAGTGTGACTTTGGGCCAGTTCTGTTGAGGTTCTCTGCAGTACAAAGGAGAGAGAGTGTCCTATTTAACAGTTAGGTCTTATGCCCTAGAATGCATCTACTGCCACCCTTCCTGGTGCTCTGGAGATGCACCCATCAACCTGAACACCTCCTTTCAAGGGCAGCCAATGTATGTGTACAGTTTCATTTACATGGCAGTATTGAATTACATGACAGGACCTGGGGCTTCGTTGGGTTCCAGTGAATTTGCTCTATAGCAGGTTCTTCCTGTCGCAGTGAATGAGGACAGTTTAGCAGGTGTAAGTGTGACTCTGGGTGAAGGCTGTTTAGGCCACCTGTCCAGAGTTTAAATCACCTTATCAAGGGGTCTACTGCCAGGACCTTGCATCTTTGCAGACTCGATAGCAACAATGGGCTTGGGCTCTTACAAGAGTCTCAGATTTCAGCTTTTTCCTCAGACACATTAAGGGCTTTCACACACCTCCTTGGGGAACTGGAGGGGGTCAGGGTCTGTCCCGAAGCTCTCATCCTCTTGCATCATCAGTTGTATTGTCACAAGTTCCTGTCAGCCTCTTCCCTCAGGAATCTAGGAGCTAGTTAATGTCTGAACTATTGCTGATGTTTCCTGTTGCTAACCTGCATTTTCCCCAGTAACTAGGAAATCGTAATTGAAACATGCTACATCTGTTCCTCTTTCTTTTTTAAACATTGCAGTCTATGCAGCAAAACCAGGATCCTGAAGTCTTTGCCCAGCCAAAGGTGTTATCCAGTGCCATCCCAGTAAGGACTCCCATTTTCTAAAGAACATATTATTTTTTAAGTTCTGCTGGGTGTGAAATAGAACACTGTAATTGAGTGAAAAGTTATAGTTTTCAAGCCTAGACCCGTTGTAGATGCCCCCTCCTAGGCCCTGCTCCCTGAGGCAGTTCATTGCCATGACTTCTGTAGACCTCGGGTCATCCCTGTATGGATGTCTTGCCTGTGTGTATGAGGGCAGGGTTGGCCACCGGTGGACATGCAGTCTGCGAATGGGGGACTGCTGGGAGTGCGTCAGCCTGGTTCTCTGAGTAGGAGATACTCTTTGCCCTGGAAGAGCTGTGATGTCCCAGTTAGCAGAGGGCAGTGTCACTACCTGCCACAGTGCTGTCCTAACCTCCTTTTACATTTCTGTTTGCCTTTCAGCCTTTGCACCTCTTCTCAAGTCTCAGACTTTAAACTGAAGCCAGCTTCTGACTGGTCTTGTCAGCTGGTCTTTTCTGTGGCTCATCCTACTACATGGTGATCGGTGGGAGCTCTCAGCTGGGTGTTGCACCAAAAAAAAAAAAAAACAAGCTAAAGGGCTCAGACACCAAAACCATACCCTCAAAATTTTTGTACATGAGGAGGGTGACAGGAGAAAGAGGAATGTAGATCTCTTGTTACTTGTATCACATGTGAGAATTATTTAAAACACTGACTATTCCTGGTTTAGTGTGGTCAAATGGTTAGCCATTACTAGCCTAGAAGCACATCTAAATGGGGGAAGGAGGTAGATGTTAGTTTTATTTTTACAAAATTCTATCTTTGATACCAGCAGTTGTATAGTAAATATATTGAACACTGCAAAAGAAACAAATGCTTGTATAACTGGACTTTTTTATTCTCTTATTGAAGTAAAATTTACATGTACTAAAATGCAGATTTTTATGAGTTTTGCTAAACGTATCTCCCTTGAATAACCCCACCCAGTCAACAATATTTAACATTTCCATCACCCAAGAGCACTCCCTCCTGCCCTCTTCAGTCATTGCCCTGCCCCCCACATGAAAACAGTACATTTTAATTTATCATAGGGTGGTTCTCACTGTGCATGCTGTGCTGGTTGGTCATCATGTTCCCCTTCTGTGGTGACCACACTCTGCTTCCCATAGCAACTCTACAAATTCTTACCCCGTAAGTGGCTCTTCATCCCATAGCTGACAGGCTTCCTAACCAGACGTAAATGCTCGAACGCTTCTGCCGAATGCTTATCTGAACTCCAGATAGCGCTGGACTCTGCTCCAGCCTCCTTCTGCATATCAGGTTATCAGGTGTTTCCTACTTTGGGCCTGGCTGCTGGCTTCTGTGCTTTGATACAAAATGACCATTGTTCCCTGCAGGTTGCAGGCCCCCCACTGGTTACAACAACAACCACTGCAGTGTCTTCGGTGCTGCTGTCCCCGAGTGTTTTCCAGCAGACAGTGACAAGGGCAGCAGACCTGGAGAGGAAGGCAAGCTCCCCTTCTCCTCTAACTGTCGGAACATCAGAAAGTCAGAGAAAGCTTTCCATTATTCTCAGCAAGTCTCAGCTCCAGGAGACATTAATACACCTAATAAAGGTATGTAGGGCATCAGTTGTAGTCTTTGAATTTTCATTCTTTAACTTTAAAAAAATTACAAGTTATTAGAAATTAGGTCATAAAGTAAATTCATGGTGGTTTTCTGGGTGGTGCGATTCTTTGGCTAATTACAAAAATCATTTATATAGCTTTTTTCTAAGCTGTTATCAAGGATGTGAGTTCTGCCCTGGCTGTTGTTGCTCAGTTGGTTGAACCTCATACCACACACACCACGAGGTTGCCGATGCAATTCCCGGTCAGGGCACATGCCCAGGTTGCCAGCTCGATCCCTAGGAGGGGGCGTGCAGGAGGCAGACTATTTTTTCCTCTCTCACATCCATGTTTCTCTCCCTCTCCCTTCCTCTTTCTCTAAAAATCAATAAAAACATCCTTAAAAAAAAATAGGACGTGAGTTCTGATGAGTTAACTGTGACATTACATCTCTTCCAGAATGACTCCAGCTTCCTCACTACACTTCATGAAGTCTACTTGCAGGTTCTGACCAAGAACAAAGACAACCACAACCTATGACTGGAGCAGAAACCAGCCTGAAGACAGAATGTCAACCTCAGAAACAAATAGGCCTCATCATGGGAACTTCTGAACAGAACATTGAGTTTTGAGAATCCTGAAATTGAGCCTATGAGAAAGAGACTCACTCCTTAAGAATGTTTTCCAAGTGACGTTCTCAGTGATAATGGAGGTTTCACTGTGAAGCATCACCAGCAGACCTTTGTTTTGACACAAAAAAAAAAAAGTGACCATTGTGTAAGTTGTGTGGGTGTTTTCATCAGCTGTGAGCACGTGTGAAATAAGGAGTCTGATTGTCAGCTGCTTTCACTTTCAAGGTCTTAGGAGCAGTGTCACCAGCCTTGCAGCAGTCAGAGTTAACCCAGCCCATATTCCTTCCCTCCTCTTTCCCCCAGAAACTTGAGCATTAGGCTGAGAGTCCAGTTCTGAACAGAGCAGACGTTAGCTCTGCATCATCGCTTCATGTTGTAAGGATCAGAGTTTCAATTGGCAAGTGAGGACTGATTTGTTCAAGTGAAGTATATTTTATATGAGTGCCCCGTTGGGCCTTTATAAAGTTCTGAAAGTTGTGTTTTAAGGTCCTCAGTGCTGACATGTAGCAGGCTCCCAGGGTGCCGTTGGGCCCTGCGGTGTTGTAGGAGCAGGCAGGTCACACTTCTGAAGCAAAGGCTGGGCGAGTGAGGCTCAAATTCTACCAGAAATCTCCACTTTACGTTAAACTCTCCAGTGGTTTTGGAAATGTTGTGTTTGTGTGTGAAGCATAGCCTTATTTCCTTTTCTGTGTAAACACAGAAGTCATTGTTGATTGTTTTCCTTAACACTTTGACAAAGGACCAGTGGACCAATCTGACAAAGCCATTCTGGTTCCATTCCTCGAGTCTACTGAGAATAATCGTGAAGCTATGCAGATAAGGGAGCTGTTATTCACATTGCCCTTACTTTATTGTAGTAGATGGAGTTCAAACAAACTGAAATTCAGAACTTTACCAATGTATTCCTAGGCTGCGAGTGCTTCTGCAGCCCAAAGTGTGAAAATATGTAAAGATGCTTTGTTATGCTGCTATTAATCTGCCATGATTTATATTTATTCTTTTATGGCATGTAATGGTGATTAGTAATATTTTAATGTAGATTTTGATTTATTTCAGCAATAGTAATTTTAAGATATTCTTTGAATGAAAGTGTCCTCGTTTCTATGATACAGGTCATTTTGTAGTATTTAACCAATTAAGATGCACTGCTTACTTTTCTGAGCACTATTTAATGATTGGGTAAAAACCCAAGTGGCTCAACCAGCTAGCATAAGGGTTAGCTGTGAATAATGCTAACAAGTGTGCTGGTTCCTCGGGAACAGGCGTTTAAGCTTTAATGGTAACTCAATCATAAGGTCATAGGTGTTTTTTTCCTAGCTGAGATTTTTAGAAAATTACCTGTGAATTACATACTTGTCTTAGTTTGGTCTTAGTTTTTTAGCATAAAGAATGCTTTGTTTGATTGGCTTTGTTAATCTAAACTTTCTTCCTGGGCAACTTTTCTGCTTCTCAATTTAGTGTCTTCTGTTGGGTCTACCTAGTTATTTGTGAATTGTGCAGAAGTCAGGAAACCTTATAAGTTCTCATACTCAATTAGGAATAGTTTGTTTTCAAAGGCATTGTGTAAATTCAGCAACCAAAAATGAATTGTTCGTGTATCACAGGGAAAGTTACAGTAAGGTACAGAGTTACTGACACTAGGAGACGGTGTCCAAGGCGCCACGTGACTGTTCTCAGAAAACAGTTGCACCAGTAGGTTTGGTCACACCCAGGAGTAGTCTCAGTGGACTTTGCTAAACAAGAATCAAGGGATTCTTGTTATAATAGACATTTGAATTGATGTGGTGATTTGAGTATATATAATATTCTAGGAGAGTTAAGAGAGAATATCCTAAGAGGGTCTGTAATCAGATCTGTTAATTTTCGCCCTTTAATCCAAGGGAATAAATATGATAGATGGTAAAGAGAATCTGTGATAAGGTTTCCTTAATGTGAAAGTAAACTTTTAAGTGCCCAAGTCGTGGAGACTTGAAAAGGTTATGCCTGTTTCAACTCCCAGATTTATATATTCAAAGCATTTATTTAAAGTTCAGAAGCCAGAACTTCACCATCATGATTACCCGGAAGTTTAGGCCAGAATGAGTTCCCAGAAAAGTCAGGCCAAGCCTGGATAGTTGCAGCTGGATGACCCTGGCCCGGAAGTCACGGTGCCGTTGCCTTACTTCCCTTTCAGGCTCCCCGTCCAGAACCTCATGCTAGCTTGGGTTGCGTGTTTACATTGCTCCCGTGTCTTTTCTGGAACCTTAGTTGAATCATAAGGACACCAAAACAGATGCTTCTTGGTAGGTTTTGCAGGACTCCAGGTGATCTGCATTTAGGCCACCCTGTCTGTCTGCGCGCCCACCCCCAACGTGGGGGGTGGTACTGCTCTTCTTCTGTTGTAGTTGTAATATCTTTGAACTCCCGTACCTCCCCAATGACCTTGTTCCTTTAAGGCAGAAGCTCCTCCTCACTGTGCATCTCTCCTGAGATTTGTAAGGTGTGACTTTGAATCCTAAGTTTTCAAATGACTGTCAGTGTCAGGAGAAGCACTTCGTGCTGTCTGCGTGTGAATGTCCGAAGCTTTCCCTCTGCGGCTTTTGGGTCGCCATCACAGAGTAGTGTTTTGTTAGGAGCCTAAGTTGACCTGGGTCCTCTCTGCCAGATGACACACGGGCTTAGTATAGGATATGTCTGACCCAATTTTGCATGTCAAGAATTTGTTCTTTTTCTGCCTATGTTTTCTTGTAAAAATTATAAACCCCATCAAATCCTTTACTAGGTAAATATTTTTAAACAATGCAGCTTTATTACTCTCCTCCCCAAAGAATGTAGTTTGAAATTTTCTCATTTTGCTAGTAGAGGCCATAACTGCCATTGTATTACTAATAATGCAACATGAAATTGAAGGTGCCTAACTGCTTAAAAAAACAAAATCAGCCATCATACTGTAACTCTGGGCAAATGCAGAGACACAGAGACATGAGAGGTGGCACAGGCACAAGTGGGCCCAGTCCGTGTGAGTGAAGATGGGGAACCACAGGGACATGTGTCCTGCATTCTCACTGCACATTTGCTGCTGAGCATGTGTTTCTCTCTTATCTGTCTTTGGTTTTCTTTGCTTGTATTCAAAGTACCTTGTGCCCTGTGTTTTCGGGTGTCTAAAATGTTAAGATCTGCACCAAGGAAAGCAACTAACACTGGGCTTCTACAAGCCATGCTTGAGAGCGTGTCCCTGAGTGTGCTGGGCCTCAAGGAGCCTGTTTTTCAGCAGGAGAGACATGTGCAATGTTTCACTTCATTTTGTATTTGACTTGGTATCTTCATTAAATGCTAAGATGCAATATCGTTCGTTCACTTCGAGCGGGGAAGATGCAGAATTGTGTTTCCCTTTTATCTGTGTGACTCCTTAAACGTGTTTTTAAAATATGTTCTAAATGGTTTTTTATTGTCGATCTGTTACCGCTTTGGCCACGTGGCTCTCATGACTTTCAGTGTCCCAGAGGTTCAGCTCCCTGAAGCATGGGGAGGAGGAGCTCTGGAATTACAGTGAGATTTTTGTTCCATGAGCGCAATACTGCATCATTAACATTGTTAATGGTATGAATTTTATACCATCTGTGTATGTTTGCAAATATTAAGTTATTACATGTTTTCAAATGAGCATTTTTCATCCTAAATTTTATATGTTTGCAAATATATTTTTTTAATAAAAGTTCAAAACCAAGTTTTAGCACCTAATAAATTTTAATTGTGTTTTTATTTAATTTATAGAAATAGAATCTTTTGAATGAGTTGTTCCGCTTTGCCAGAGCCTGATACTGGTGAGATGGGATGGGGTGAGAGGAAAAAACTGACAAAACCCTTGTCTACCTGTAATCTCATCTCTTCCTCTACAGTTTCCCCAGGTGGAGGGCACAGGTCTAATCACAGCCAAAAACTCAGTTTCTAATGGACATTACCACCTGGGTCATTTCCCAGATTCACTCCATTCATAGGGATCGAGCTGTCGTTGTGCTCCAGGCATCTGGGAAGATAAGGAAGGGAAGGGGGTGAGGAAAGTGAAAGGATCATTGTGGGAAACAGAAAAGTCTAAAGAAAAAAATGGGTTAAGGTGGCTCGGTTGGAGCGTCCGCCCTGTGCACCAAAAGATGTCGGGTTTGACTTTCGTCAGGGCACATACCTAGGTTGCGGGTTTGATCCCCAGTCCGGGTGCATAAGGGAGCAACCAATCAACGTTTCTCACATCAATGTTTCTCTCTCTCTAAATCAATAAACATATCCTCAGGTGAGGATTAAAAAAAGGGTTAATCATATATCTCCCTAATAATTATTAACATTTTCATGTTTCCAAGAAAACTCTCCCTAAAATGTTTACTATACCTGCCTGCTTTCTTACAGCAGAGCAGATGCTAACTCTTGCCTTATAACTTTTTTTGCACACACACACCAGTCATCATGAGTGTTGCATGCTCGTTCAACACGTAAGGATTGCTGTCTCATTTTCTTGATCTGCACGATACCCCATTTTAGGGAGAAAGAAATTGAAGCTAGAGTGACTGAGGAATGTGCCAAAGGCTGCTTATTAAGCCAGTGGGGGCCAGGACCTGAAGCCAGGCAGACCAGAGAGCTTGGTATAGAATTCCTTGCTTGACTCCGTTGCCTCCATGATGAATTATTTGAGAGTGCTTTTCATAGTTTCTTAGTCCACTCATTACCACTATTCATTAAAAGTTAGAATGGTCTGCTCACCTGCTGCTTTCCTTCTGCCATGGCCTAGGAAACCAGGTAACTAGTTTGTTGGAATTTTGTGAACAACAAAGGTCTGCGGATACAGAATAAGCCGTAGAGGATGGGGGTTTGGGTTTCTGGGTACTTCCTAATGCCGCTTTCACTCACTTTATGGATCCTGGTTCATAGATTAAATGTTGCTAAAAATCTGATCTCTAAGTAAGGAGACTGAGTAAGAGTATTGAGGCTTCTGGGCAAGTGTTTGGTTTCGAGAACTCTCAGGAGCCAGCCTACCTCCCCTATTGAATGAGAAGCTGGAAACGGTCTCTGGGTGGTCTCTGAGGGAAGCCCACCTTTAGATGAAGCCAGGTCCTTGGAAGCCAGAAGGGAAGTGCAGGAAAAAATGCTCACTCAACCCCCAAAGCTCAGCTACATTTCCACCTTTCAGACAGCTATGTGCAGGGTGAACAGGCCTAACAGGTTTCCAAAGAGCGGAGATCAAGTCAAGATTCTAACCTCTCCGGAGTTTGCTAAATGGAGTTAGGCGGGAAGACAGCTGTCGCACACACACAACCGTGGGGAACCTGTGCTGCCCAAACGCTGGCAGGAGGGCGGGGCTCCCAGCCCCCAGGGAGCCTTACCCACATCTCTTCAGGTGCTCCAGGTAGCTTAGCCAAAAGTAAGGATGACTAGTATGCGATTTAAGCAGCAGAAGTAGAATGGCTTGAAAGGAGGTAATACAAGTCATTGTGACAGTCATATCATGCTCGACTAGCATTTCTTTCAGGTGAGTTTAAGTTGGAAGTGAGTCATAATCATAACTGACATTTGTCATGTGCCGCACGCTCTGTGTGCATTCTCATTAAACCCCTCCACGCCCCTGACGGGGAGGGAAAGGACCACATAGGGATCCCAACACACACAACACCAACCTCCTATCACCCTGAGAAGACAGGGTGGTTAGATTGGCTGTGTTTAGATTGATGTCAGTCCATCAGTCTGGAAGGAGCCCCAGGATTTGGAGCCAGGAAAGCAGCCACAGTCCACAGGGACTATTTTCTTTCCAGGTCCCTGTTACTCCAGAAAGGGGTCAGGTGCTACCCGAGTCCTGCAAAGCTCCTGGAGGCACCCTCAGTAAACCATCCCCCATTTTCTATGGACTCTATCGGAATGTTGGCAATGGTGTCCTGGCTTGTGAAGCAAATATAAAGCACATTTTGCTACCCAAGCCCCAGTTTGTTGTTTCTATCTCTGATGTGTCCCTGCCCCCAGATGTTGCCCCTCCTAGGCCTCTCCCAGGCAGGGTTCTTTCCCCCGAACAGAGCTAATAGAATTGGCTGACATCCTTCCCCATCCTGCTGGCACTGAGAGGTTCCCTGACTTCTGTTTGACTCCCACCCTTTCCCCAGCCAGGCCCTCCAGATGGGAAAGGAGACTCTAGCAATGGTGTGCAGGTAATGGTCCCCCTTTACCATGTTGTCTGCCCCAGGGGCCTCCACCCCAGCAGGCACCTCGTCCCCTTTTTAAACAAATATTTTGTAATTCCACCTTTACTGACCTGGAATTCATAGAGAATGAGACCTATGCCTACACACACAATTCTAAAATAACACCCTAAGTGTAATATAAAGAAGAAATTTAAAAGTAATTTATAATGAAATGCTCCATATTAAATAAACACTTGGCA